GGGTGGGGGATTCTGTTTTCCTCTCTGTCTATCCTTGCATCCGTCCCTGTGGCTTTGAAAGTTTGGACAAGCTATTAGTGTTAGGATTGTTGGGTCAAGGTTACTGTTACTATTTTCTTTAAAAATTTATAATTCATTACAGTATACTGGCTTGTTAGGGCCAGTAGGGTACATGTATTGCTTCAGCATTGCTTGGGTATGTTTGTTATTTCTACCATTGATATCGTAAAACATGACCTTGCCAAGATGATGATAGATGTGGTTTGTTAAATATGTAGGTTTACAGTGTAGATCATGTAAATGGCAGTTTCCACTACACGGAAGGTACAGATACACATGTATTTACTAAATACATAATGTAATCTTATGTAGTCCTTTGTAAACAATAACATTGTAGGATGGACACTCCTGATTTTTATCTTAATTTCAAACAATTTTTATGCACCACACTATTTTATGGAGGCACATATAGTGTACACCAGGTCCACATGTATTGATTTGTCACCTTGCAACAAATGTGCATTGGACTGGTGAAATTCATGTCTTAAAGAAATTTTTTAGCTTCAGTAAATATTGAAAAGTCTGTTGTAATTTTATGGTATAAGTTGTTAGGAGGAGGCCTAGCACTTTTGAACAAATTATTTATCAAATTCCCTCCATTAAGAATACTGAAGAGGTGGCTCTGGTATGGGTTGATCCAGTCTTCAAAAATGGTACATGAAGTTTTTAGGAAGCAAATTGACCTTGATAGGGAATAAAGTCTTTCTGAATGTAATACACTTACTGTAGACACTTACTATAGACACTAATTGTAAACTGTCAAATACCCATACTTACATTCCTTATATAACGATCAGATTTGTGTGATGTCATATTAAAAATACTGTTTAATGAAGAGTATGTATGTGGAATTGGTTGAGATTAAAGGCTCAAAGGTCATCACATTTTGAAGTAACAGTTACAGAAATCATGAGCCTATATGATAGAGTAGATGCATGGAAGGATAATATTGGGATGTTTACAGTGAAAATAAAATTGGATGCTTCCATCAAGAATGGTTAATATTAAGTTTTGCCCAAAAGTGAGTAACATGGAGTGTTCCCTTATTGAGAGTAACATTGAGTGTTCCCCTATAGGGAGAAACATGGAATGTGTCCCTTATAGGAAGTAACATTGAGTGTTTCCCTATAGGGAGAAACATGGAGTGTGTCCCTTATAGGGAGTAACATTGAGTGTTTCCCTATAGGGAGTAACATGGAGTGTTCCCCTATAGGGAGTAACATGGAGTGTTTCAATATAGGGAGTAACATGGAGTGTTCCCATATAGGGAGTAACGAGTGTTTCCCTTTAGGGAGTAACATTGAGTGTTCCCCTATAGGGAGTAACATGGAGTGTTCCCCTATAGGAAGTAACATGGAGTGTGATAGGGAGTAACATTGAGTGTTTCCCTATATGGAGTAACATGGAGAGTTTCCCTTTAGGGAGTAACATGGAATGTTTCCCTTATAGGGAGTAACATGGAGTGTTTCCATATAGGGAGTAACATGGAGTGTTTGCCTATAGGAAGTAACATGGAGTGTGTCCCTTATAGGGAGTAACATTGAGTGTTTCCCTATATGGAGTAACATGGAGAGTTTCCCTTTAGGGAGTAACATGGAATGTTTCCCTTATAGGGAGTAACATGGAGTGTTTCCATATAGGGAGTAACATGGAGTGTTTGCCTATATGGAGTTACAAGGAGTGTTTCACTTTAGGGAGTAACATGGAGTGTTTCCCTATAGGGAGTAACATGGAGTGTTTGCCTATATGGAGTTACAAGGAGTGTTTCACTATAGGGAGTAACATGGAGTGTTTCCCTATAGGGAGTAATATGGAGTGCTCCTCTAGATGGAGTGATGATGAGTGTTTCTTTATAGGAAGTAACACTGAATGTTCATCTTTAGGGAGTAACACTGCCTTTAGTGAGGGATAAACAAACCATAAAACACCATTAATTTAAGTGCATTGTTACAGCATCTCATTCCTAATGACATAAAACATTATCTCTGTCAGCAAGACAACACTTAATACCTGGCAGAAATCAAAATCAATCTCTAAAAATGATGCAGAAGCAGTCTCCAGTCCTCAGTGGAGTTGTTATCAGGGAATCCCAACAGATGTCCATGCACTTATTCATGCAACGATAGATATTTACTGTTGATCTTCATTCTGTTGACAGATATACAAAAAAAAAAGTAATAAATAATCACTGCGGTATTAAAATTTAGAAGTGAGGAGATGGAGAATTGGTTTTAATGATTACCAGATAAATATAGAGGCTGTACCAGAATCTGGTACTGCTAGCCCAGCAGCTATACACGTGTTTGTGATTTCAGCATGCAGGCACGGCATAAACAAGAACCAACATGGATTGGTACATCCTTTTTGTAGAACCAACGAGTCTTAATAACTCTCGTGCATAAGAAAGTGTGGATCTGCCAACACGTGCTGTTAGATATTCAGACAAAAAAAAGTTGAGGCGACCACTTGTTTTAGGAGAGGATGGTTTGTTGTCCTCGGTATACTTAGTGATGTGATGACTGCAAGGCTCTGAAGTGTATTGTGATAGTATTTACTGAGGAATGTTGTTTTTCTAAGGGTAACTATATCTTGGTTTGGATTATGTCCAGGATGCAGTCTTTGTGTTCCTAAAACATTTCTTCCGACAATACTGGACTCTTGTGTCTCCTATCTTTGGGATCTTTACCGCTCATAGAGAAGGTAAGTGTAATACGATACCTCTGTAGAAAGGTCACATCTTTGATATTAGTTCTATACTACAACAGGTGGTCTTTGTTAAGAGGTAGAGTCCACTGTATCCTATGCTAAGGTATGATGATCTGTCTATATTTAGACTGTCATGTCGTTATTGAATTCCTCTCTACTTAGGCTAGCTTCTGAAATTTATAAGCCTGTAGTGAAAACCTGTCTTCATTGAACACATTTCTTCAGTCTGTCTATACATGTGGTTAAGGCCAACTTCTCGCAGATATTTGTCTATAGTGTACACCTGTCTTCACTGAATACCTGTCTACATTGAACACCTGTATACATTGAATACCTGTCTACAGTAAAGATTTGTTTATCTATATACTTAAGACTACATTCTTGAATATACTTGTCCTTAGTGAACACCTGTTTACAATGAAAAGCTTATAATGTATAGTGTTTATCTATCTATAGTAAATACCTGTCTATTAAAATACTATATCTCAATAACACCTTTCAAAAATATGAAGTCATCTGTCCAAATCCACCCTGTGTATACAGAGCACCGGTCTGATGAGACTGCCTGTGTAATTTTCAACAGAGGCCATCTACCTACAGAATTACCTGTGTAAAATTGATCATTTCTTGAGAAGTAGGCTGGGTCACTTGACTGTCATCATGTTATTTACAGTGAATTGTAGCATGTAGCTTTGATCTAAGCTAACTCTAATGGTTGAAAATTCATTTGTAAACAAGCTGTTGAAATGGGTGTCCATTTTCAAAATTTGAAATGGGAAGACAGTCTGTGGAAAATGATATTTGTTAAATACCCTTTATATGACAAAATATTGGTGAAATTATGACTGTAAGTCTTATTTTATGTTATTGACTCCAGATTGACATAAATTTGATGGATTAACATGATCTAAGTATGAAAATTATAAATTGAAAATAAGGGTCCAAAAGATCAGGGAGAGCAGACAATGGTACACACAGATTCTCATTAATCTTATGCTTATAGAATGATACCCATCAAAATCAGCATAAAACTGTAAAATTGAATATTACTGTGTCTCTGTCATTTCGTTTGATAACTGCCTTTTACCTAGGGCATTGTTTATCATCAGACTTGCAGGAGATGCTGGGTTTATTTGTGTTCCGTAGGACCACTTACAAGATAATGTATTTCTTAGGGACCTATTAACCTATCAAGTTGATCTTTAAATCAGAACGGTGATTATAATTTATCTTGAGTGTTGAGATTCTGCACAATGGTACACACTGATTGGTTTGAAAAGATTTAAAATGCTTGCTTATCTTTCATCGCTGAGGCATTCCAGTGATCTGTTTTTTATGTATTTAAGTGTGAACCAACCAGGAATCGACCCATTCTCATGTCACTTTGATTGGTTTGGATATTGTGGAAAAAATTTGTGCAGAAAAATGTTCTGCGATTCAGAACCTTTCTTTTTCACTCTAATGTAACTCATATGGGTAAGTTGATTATTTCAGCATGGAAAAAAATCTAAATTTCTGTTCTTTTGAAAAATTTAAAAGTTCTCTAACTTTATAAACAGTGGTTATACTCTTTTGTTAAAATCTATATTGCTGATAGTATCAATGACCTTTTGTCAATTTTGTGTTGTTTTATACATAGAATTAAAATACCTGTCAATGTATATTTGATCATAAACATCAAAGCTTTGTAGTGCTAACAATAAGTATGAGTTGGAATGTTTAGTCGGTCCACCAATTTTCATACTCATGTTATCACAGCGTTACTTCAGGGATGAGTTGGCTTGGTGTATTATATACCCTCTGTTTTACAATCACAGCTAATCAGGGCAGAAAGCTTACACCTGACAACACCTGTATTAGAATACATGTAAGAAACAATCCACACTCACCTTCTTATTGAATGCTACAATAATGCTTCTTTTCATTCGGGATTATCATGGTTGGTGGGTCCACAGCTCAGGAGATGGAATGAACAATTTCAACCTGTGGAACAGTAGGAACTGTAAAAGGGATTGAGTGGATGTACAAACACAAACAGAAACACTGCTGGATATCTGAAATGTAAAAAGTAGTGAATGAGTGATATTTAGATAATACTGAGTAACAGAGACAGAAAGCTATGTATGGGTTATTTGGGGATATATCACATCTATATGATGATCGAGGTGGACCAGACTGTCTTATCTACCCTGTAGTTATCACAAGTCCAGGATATACACAGTACAGGATAAGAGATGCACCTTCTGTGATTGAGATTTGACAAGATCTTCCTGATGAGTGAGAATTGATACAGTATAGATGCTGGAGGAGGATATCAACACAGAGCAGATTGATGAAGTGGCCATTTCAAATTCAGAGCTGAATGATGAGGTAGGGTGTTGTGTTGCTGACAGTGAAATACTGATAGGGAAGATTGAGGAGTCGAAATTTTTTTTGTGATAAATAGACAAAAGGTATGGTAGTGTAACATATTGGATGATCTGACTGTTTGCTGTGAAGTTGTGATCGAATCTGATGCCCCAGGCTAGTTGAGAGAGGTGACACTTGTGCCTGTATCAGTGTTGTAAAGTTAATTAAACAGGTGCTATAATAACCCATGTAGGAAGTTAAATGGAACTAAAGTGTTCAAGTAGCCTTATCAGGGCCAATTATCAGCTGTTGATTCAGTGATTACGAATGGAGTGTGTTATAAGGTTCTGTAGTTAATGTTAGGTGGCATTACTTTCAGCTGCTGCCACGGCTCAGCTCCTCTGATTATAGAAAACATTATTGTGGAAGATGGCAGAACAGAGTGGAAGTAGTTACGGATGGGATTTTAAAATGGAATGAGGAGGGGAAATGACTAGTGTTACATAGCAAATATATCATAGGAAAAGCAGGATATTATTAAAAGGGAATAAAGTATTCATATAGCATGCAATGATTGCTGAAATGTAAATATTGTAGGATTTTCTAGTTCTGTGGAACTTTATCTATTAGAATGTTTGCAAGGTATGGTAACAAGTTCACTCCAATCTTTATAACCTCAAGATCAAAGTTGTTCTTCAAATTTTAGGAAACATAAACCGTTTCCTAATTATTACCTGCATTAAGTCTCTCTGAAAATTGAATGAATAGCTATGAAAGACTTTCAGAAATACTGTTTGTGATATAAATAGATCAATGGTTGTAAGGCTGAATACATATAAAGTTATTTTAGTTGAAATTGTGGGGACCATAAACTGTGAATTATGACAAAAAAATTCACATCACTGGAAAATGTATTAGATTCAATCACTTCATTTCCTTGAACATGAAGCGATTACAAGTTGGAGTTGTCAGTAAGTAATAATCACTGTAACACCATGGAATGTTATGTATGACAAATGGTGTTTGTTGATAAATGCATAGCAATCTGTATTCAGGACAGCACATCAGACAGAGATATGAATATTTATATGTGTGGTAGCACACACAAGCTCAGCTATGGATGGTGAGGCAGATGTCACACACATGACAGTAGGGAAGAGAAGACTGTGAGGAGAAAACCTGTGGTTTTGATGTAAGCTATATTAGGTGGGCACCAGTCATATCTGTGTATAAATGTGTAGATATTCCTACATATCATTTAGAATGCCACCTCTCCTTGATCCCACACCAGGTGTTGGAAACAGACTCCCTAACCCTCAATCATGATATCTATACATATCACAACTTTGTTAGGTATGTTTATAAGCCAGGATAAACAATTTCCAAACATCACTTTCTTTTAGTGTTAGCTTTTCTGTGGCTCTGTTGGCCCCTTGAATTACTGTATTATGGTCTTGATACTGTATTACATTACTCTAGAGGTACAGGCCCTGTGGACCCTTTTGATTACATATTGTCTCAATATTCTGCTGTATAGTTGGTAATATTTGCTGGAAATTTAATTTTACTATATTCAGGGTCAATAAAGATAGTGAGACGGCTATTTTACCTATATACATGGAATCCAGCTAATAGGCATGTGCAAAAATCAAGCCAAAACTTAGGACAACTGCATTATATTAGCCCATGAAATTAAATAACTGTGTAGTAGAATTACATTTTTCCAATGTAGACCTTGTAGACTCTGTAAGTCCTTTCAATCACTGTAATATGGTTACAATGCTGTATTACATCATAACAGTATTACAGGCCCTGTAGGCCATTTGGATTGCTTTTATACAGTCTGCTTAATACCAGTGATACAGGCCTGATAAGCCATTTTGATTGGTATGATACTATCTTTCTAATACCAATGATACAGGCCCTACATGCTCTTTGGATTGCTGTGATATTGTCTCTTACCTGTGATACAGCCCCTTTAGGCCCTTTGTATTGCTGTGATATGTTTACAATGCTTGTCCCTTTGGATTGCTGTGATATGTTTACAATGCTTGGCCCTTTGGATTGCTGTGATATTGTCTCTTACCAGTGATACAGGCCCTATAGGCCCTTTGTATTTATTGCTGTGATATGTTTACAATGCTTGTCCCTTTGGATTGCTGTGATATTGTCTCTTACCAGTGATACAGGCCCTATAGACCCTTTGTATTGCTGTGATATGTATACAATGCTTGTCTCGTTACACTGCTGCCTTGTATCTGGATCAACTTCTGTCACTTTTTTCTACAATGATTGTACTTGACACTCCACATCTTAGTAGCAGAGATAGACAATTATTGTAAATCAGGAGCTGTGATAGGTTTTGGTTAGGTTCTGTGGTAATGTACTGACCTTCCCTGGCTCTATGTTATACAGTATGTTGTCCAGGCCTATTTCTGTCAGCATTCTTTAACAGTGACTTATCTACAACTGGGATAGAAAGTAGTAATACAACTTTGTAACAAAAAATGTCTGTCAGCACTTGTGAAAAATGACCTAATGTGTTTTTGAGGTTACAAAAATAGAAAGGTAATGCTTACTTCAGAAGTGTACTGAAGATATATATAACAACTGCATGAGATTATATTCAGAAAACCACACAACTAGATAAAAAGGTATTGTTATTTTGTAATGTCAAAATATATGTGTCATATAAAGATCAGATTATGAAATTCTGTAACCCATTTAGCACTTTGTGTAATGGCTTGTCTCCCTTTGGTAGCAGTAAAACAAAGAATAATTATTTCTATTTCTAAGTTAAAACATTGGAGTGTGCAAGACTACATGACATCAGATCATGTGTTCAATATCTAACCCGGAAAACTCCCATTGTAGAATGGCATATACAGTAGGGTTTTTTGTATCATGAGTAGCCTTCAAGTTTACATGTGATATACTGAAATAGTTCAATGTTATCGCTGAGGATATCATGGACCAGTCATTGTAATGTGTGAAGATATTAGTATATTCTGCAATGTCTGAAGACAGCCTAAGTAATACCTCATTTACAGTGTAGGTATAAATCAGACGCAGGACTTGTTTACTTTCCATTATAGATATATTATAATGGTCTCCATTACCATTCTCAGTGTATTGGAGGCAAGATCGTATTATAGCACTATTCACAAGTTTGCATCGCTGCAAGACAAGAGTGCTGTCACATGATCTGAATCAATAGAAAGCTTATTACATTACTGACAACGGTTGCCTGGCAACAGTCACCATGACATGGAAATGTCATCCATCTTGGGTCAAAAGTCACTTTTACAAGTGTTTTACTGTGAGTCTAGCACTTCCGATTAATTTTGCTATCTTCAATCAAAGTGCTCCCTTAATTTGATAAAGTTTGTGTTAATGTGATGAAAATCTGTTCCGTGTCTGCTGAGTCTTTTTTTGTGCCTGTTTGTCTGGATTATCGTTATTTTCAGTTTCCATGGCAGAAAGCTCTCTGCCTTTTCCTTGTATTCATCCTTAAAGTCCCATTTAATGCTTCATTTGGCAGGTTTAACAGGTAATGAGAGAGTTTATGAGAAAACTTCCAACAGATGATTATGCAAATATAACATTAAAACCATCTCAAGCTGAGTATTATCTATCAAGAAACACTAAGTGGTAATACCAAAACAAATAGAAATTAATAGAATTAAGTCTTACTGAAAATACAATGTCCATAAGGTCACAGATGTGTAGAGACACAGGGCCTTGTTCTGATGTGTAGAGACATAGGGCCTTGCACTGGTGTGTAGAGACACAGGGCCTTGTTCTGATGTTTAGAGACACAGGGCCTTGTACTGGTGTGTAGAGACACAGGGCCTTGTACTGGTGTGTAGAGACACAGGGCCTTGTACTGGTGTGTAGAGACACAGGGCCTTGTACTGGTGTGTAGAGACACAGGGCCTTGTACTGATGTGTAGAGACTCAGGGCCTTGTAATGGTGTGTAGAGACAAGGCCTTTTTGTATAGTACTGATTTGTAGAGACACAGCCTTGTATTGAACTGATATGTAGAGACACAGGACCTTTTTGATATCTAGGTAGGGGCTCATGTATTAGGACAGTACCTTCTATCAAATAATGCACACTATAATATGTATCAGAAGAGGTGTTCTTTGAATCATTATATAATCTGTAGGTACAATAGTGTTAAATGCTGTGGTAGAGAGAGAGAGTACTATGGGTATGTAGAGTATGTGGCCTTGATGGGAACACTGCCAATGTATACCTGACAGATAATGTGTAACCTGTACTTCTGTGGTGCTACAGTAAAGGCAGTCCTCTGGTAAATAAGGGGCTTTGTCAGAGGTTACAGGGAAATTTCCAGAAAGCTGTGAGTCTGCACTTTTTGAAGGCATGCAATCGAAAGCATCAAAAACTGACCTTTATTGTACTGGTGGACATGGACCTGTCTTTATGTTGAAGTTGTTCATTTAATGATTGTAAACCAGGTGTATGATTGAAAAGTGACTAGTGGAAATACAGTATTGGATAAAGTCAATCAAATATGCTGTCAAAAAATTTATGAGTACCAAAGTCATAGGCACTGTTGAAAAATTGTGTCCTAGAGAAATGTTGAAAATTACCAGTGTTCAAGAAGTGGTCACTTACTGTGTCCAGAGGCCTATTCAAATGCCTGACTGTTATGGATATTTTGAGTATGGAGCTTGACTCAGAGGATGAGTTCATTGAAGTTTTATATGATTATTGGGTAAGGCTTCCATATTTTTCTACTAAATCAATAACATTGTCATCTACTAGTATTTCATTGCTTATGTTGTCCTATAAACTTCCATAAAGAAGCCTTATGGTATTTGATTGACCTTGACTGTCTAGTTGTTTTGTGATTGACCTTGACTGTCTAGTTGTTTTGTGATTGACCTTGACTGTTTAGTTGTTTGTGATTGACCTTGACTGTCCAGTTGTTTGTGATTGACCATGACTATACAGTTGCCATGATGCTGTTCCAACTTCTGTCATTGGCGATAT